TTGCAGTCAAGTATTTCACCAGATGCCTCCTTGGTTTTTTTAAGAAAACACACTTACTGGGTCACCTACTCCATGGCATTTAGGCTCAAGACCTCTGCCACAGACCTCAGCCGCCTCTTCTCCCGGCTGAACAGCCCGAGTCTGCCGTGGCAGCCCTTACACAGGAAGCACTGGGAAGTACTCTGCCTTGCCTGCATCAAACCCAGCTCCGCCGGCCCCAGCTGGGATCACAGGCAGCGGGAGCTCCGCGGGGAGGCACTAGCACTCACAGAGCCGCTCTCCCCCATCTCCCTCTCCTTCGGCACCCGCTGTCGCGCTGAAGGCTGCCCTCAGCAGCCCCTGCCTTTGCACCAGGACACGGTGCAGGGCAGGCAAAAAGCCCCGGTGCACGCAGTCACGGGAACTGTACAGATGGAAAACATCCAGGGAACCGGTGCAAAACGAACTCAATTGGACAGAACGGTCACATTCCCCTAACCAAGGCATTCTTGTGAATTAAGGCTTTTAGCACGCTGGAAGACTAATGATGCCAATACACATCTTGGGAGGGACATCGGGGTAATGGTCCAAACCCCAGCTGTGTGTACACAGGTGGTTTTAGTTTGAAGCTTGCCTACTTAGGGGGAGCTCATTTCCAAACACTGAGGATGCCCTAATGTTAATCAATTTTTTTGAAATGTGTTTGCATAAACTTGTGGTTTTCGGTGTATCCCGATCCATCAAGGCAGATCCCCAACGGCACACAGACCCTTATGTCAGAGGCAATCAAGTATGATTACCAGAGCTGCTGGCTGTGGGGCCCCTCCTGTGTACACACACGGGGACATATGGAAGTTATTAACAAGTTTCAGCGAAGGATTTTGGGAAATTAACCCCTGGGGGCCCAGAGGCCCGCTAACAGACAGCTAGTCAGGAGCACATGAAGAGCACTTTCCCGCTGGATGCCTGTGGTGTGTTGGGACCGAAATCCAGGCCCTTCACAGCCCGTTAGAGGAAGCCCCTCTCACGAGGACTAAACTTTTCAACTTCTGCTGTTAGGAAGAGGGGCTGAAAAACCCCATCTGCGGGGCTGTGTATGTTTCCTCGACAAACTGAAAGGAGTCAGCTGGAGAAATGTGTAACATAACATATAAAAATGCAAACAATTTTCTTCTATTCCCTGAATGGTGCTCAAGAGGTTGTGAGGAAGTTGGTAATTTCTTTATAAGCCCCTTTAGGAGCCACCAAAAGAAATGTTTGGATACGGGCCACCCGGAGCTGCTCCGACCCGGCAGAGGGACCGATTCAGAGGCAGGGGTGATTAAAGCGAACATCTCCCACTCATTAATGAAAGCAGCAGGATGTCGTTTGCAGTCGGCCTGTGGAAGTAAACCCTTCTGGTTTTACTTTGAACATCTTTTCCTCATGGAAAAAGATTTCTCTTCCCATATCTGAGCAGAAAGCAAAGGACTCTGCACAGCCTGCCGCAGCCCATCCACTTCTCACCGTCCCGTTCTTCCCAACTTGGTTTCCTTTCTTGTACCAATGCTGATCTGCAAAGCGACCTCTCCTCGGGAATAATGAGGATACTCACCCTTAACGTGCTTTAAACTTCCACAACACAACAATGCTTGGCAGTCGTTCACGGCTCTTCATCCACAGATCTCAAATCAATTCGCCACAGCCCTGCACGGAACTGACTGACTTGTAAGACAGAGATGAGCACTTGCTGGCAATTAAAAAGAAATATAAATGAGCAAAATAGACTTTATTAAAATCCAAACTGTTTCCTTCTCCCTTGGTGTGATTTTCCTAAGGCACAATCCTGGCTGCAAACGGGGCTCTTCCGCAGCCCCCAGCCACAGAGCCCAAGATGCTCGTTTTCGGCCAAACGAGGGCGGTTCACAGCCAGGTCACAGCAATCCAGTTAGGAAGCTCTTCCCTCAGCGAGCTATAACCGCGGCCATAAAACAGAAGCATTCCTGGGCTCGCTTATAAATGTGGAAGAAATTAGCCCGCTCCTTCCCCCTCCCCGGTTTCTGCAGGGAAGGTGGGAAGGCAGCCAAGGCACCTTGGCAACGACACCCCCAAGGAAGAAAAGGATCGAGGGGATGGGCAGGGTGCCCGGACAGCAGAGGCGGTCCTGCTCCTCCCGCAGCAGGCAGGGAGGGAGGGCAGCTGTGCAGCTGACCCCATCAAGGCAGGGGCTTCTCCTGAGAGCCAAGGAGCCCAGGTGCCCAGAGCCACCCGAGATGCCCGCAGGGGCAGGCAGGGCCAGGGCAGGAGCTGCAGGGGACCTGCGCTCTGCCCAAAGAGCACCAACAGGACGGTGCCCGAGACCAGGCCAAACCCACGGCAGGCAGCAGCACCCGGAGCACGACCCAGGGGTGCTCCGCGTAGCGTGGCAAATTAGGAGGGAAGTGGTTTTCCACCCGCCAACACGCTACAGCACTTGGCTGGCGCTGCCCCTATCCCGGTGCCTCTGCAGGGGGCTTTGTGGGCACAGCACCTGCGGTGACACCACCACCACCTCCTCCGTAGCCAGGCCCACCTCCCTGCCCTACGGAAGAGTTGTCCAGGGAAGGGACCCTGGGACGTCTCTAGTCTGACCTGGGGCTCACACCAGGGCCAGCTCCGAGGTCACACCAGGTTGCTCCAGGTTCCTCCCAACCTCACTCCAGTTTATTGTGGTTCTGTTGCACTAGGGAATCCCAAACTGGACACAATCCTCTAACTGGGGTTAAGGAGCGGCAAGTATGGGGAAGAAATCACTCCCCTCCTCTGCCACTGGTGTTCCTGTTAACACCACCCAGGACGCCCCGGCCTTTGCTGCCGGGCAGACGGATTCAGCTCTGCTGTCCCCCAAGACCCATGGTCCTTACATGGGTTAGCGTGCTCAGCCAGCCTCAGGAGCTGGAGACACCGATAACCCCCAGCGACAGAGCACGTGTTTGCGCAGGGGATACACAGGACCATTCTCTCAGGGTGGGTTGAACCCCAGCCCCCTTCGTAACGCTGCCCAGAGTAACACAGGGCACCCCAGCCTGACACAGGCACCCAAGGGCTCCAGTTCACCACCTCGAACAGACCCAGCGATGATGATGGGTGCGATTACCTGCTCAGCTTTTTGCCTGGCCCTGCAGGAGATCGCAGCTCCAGCAGCACCGTACCCACATGTCGGGCACCTCAGTGCACGTGAACCCCAGGATGGTGAACGATCCCAGTGCGGGCTTTTGTGCTGGGCTGAGCCGCAGCAGCTGCGGGGCTCCCCAAGACCGAGCAGAGCCGGCGGCAGGGATAAGACAGCCACTTCACTGGCACTTATTTAACTACCTTGGTTCACACGCCAGCGCCCCGAGACAGGAGGCCAGGCACCATGCCATCAGCAGAGCGACTGAGCCCTCCAGAGAATAATTCAGTGTCAAAGCGAGGCTCCTGTGATGAATCACACCCTGCATCTCTCTGTGCTGACCGCACGCTTTGGCTCCTCAGATAAGATACCTGAAGCCAAAAGAGCAAATTCAGAGTAATCTCTCCCCGCGTTCCGCTTTTCCCCCCCCTGCTACAGGTCTGAAGGGGAAAGTCAGCGGGAGCTCAGCAGGCTGCCTGCCCGGCTGTGCATCCTTGGTTGCACACAGAATGGTTTGGCTCAAATTTTCTCCTGAAATTGCAATTTCTCCTTTCACGTAGCTGTTCTCAGTCACTTATTTCGAAGACATTATACCTGCCTGCACCCCTGAAATGAACCATAACCCCAGTTAAGCTGACTCTGTTCCTCGCCCTTGTGCTCATCCTGACCAGTTCTGGGTTCACTGCTGCTGTGCCCTGCTCTATGATCCTGAATCACTCACGTTCCTGTCACGCACTCAGCACCAATTTTGAGGTACTAAAAATACTTCTGAAAATCTCACCCCTACGTTTCTAGGAAGTAACTTCTGTTTAGAAAATCCTTTACTTGGTTACACTGTAAGATGAATTACGTTCACTGTTCCCAGTTAGGACCACTGATTTATCTTCTGCTTTTGGTCTTTGTAAGGCACTCACTTGTTGGGTTTCAGTTTGATTGCCGTGTCTCGGCACTACACTAACAGGGTTTCCAACAATGCAAGGAAATGAAAGTATCGCTATGTAGTCACTGACTTTTAAAAATAAGTATAAAAACCACGTTTATTAAAAATTTTTAAAGTCTCTTATAAAAAATTCTTTGCCTTTTGTAAGGCAAACCCAAAAGGCCTTTCTATGCACTGTAGGTGGCAGCAGCATACTATCAGATGAGCGTTAAGAAAGGGCCTGGATCCCATGTTCACAGCCTCCCAGGGCAGACCCGGCCCTCCAGCCCAAGGTTACCTCGGCAGGAAGGTTACCCAGGTTACCAGGCCCTTAGAAGGGGTAACTCATCTGCGCTCCCAAAAACCTGTTCAAATAAAGCAACGTGAAAGCCTGTGAAGCTGCACGTATCGTACGCGGCTGCGACCGCTTCCTCCCTGTGCAGACGTTGGCCTCTGAAGCGGGAGGCGTCGTGTTCGTGCTGCGTGGGGCAAAACCTGCTCTCACTCCGCTGCAGCTATGGAGGGACACGGTCGGCGCAGGGGTCGTGCCCAGCGATGCCCGAGCTGCGCTGCTGTTGGGGTTGGACTCGGCCAAACCACTTCACGAGGGCAGATCTGTAGCAGCAACAAGCTTAGGCACTTCGGGGTAGAGGCATGCACAGGGCTGTCCTGGGAGGACAGGCAACTCACCTTCTTCTCCAGCTTATAAGTTACAAATGGAGCAAAGAGCAGGACTTGGGGGCAGAGGGGGGGAATCTCTGCTCTTCAGGTTGGCTTCACCCCAGGCATCTCTGGGGAAGGCCACACAGGCTGTGCTCGTACGAGGACACAGCTGTCACAGCCCACCAGTTCAAGCCCCGCTCCCTCTCCCTTTCCTCTCCCAGCAGCCCGTCCAGACCCACTGGCGTGGCATGTGTCCCACCAGCACAGCCACGGAACAGGCACCTCCCTTCGTCACCCACGCACGCGGCATCATCTCCCGGCCCAGGACAGAGAGGGGCTGGGGATAACGCTACCCTCCGACCCCCCCCTTCCACCCGGGGGTGAGACCATCTCCTCCCTCGGGCGCATCCCCAAGGAGCCCCCCAGCCCTGCTGTGTCCCCCACCACGGTGCCAGCGGGCAAGCTCCGGCAGCACAGTTCTCGCAGCGTGGGCACTGCCCGGCGACTCCGGCACAGGGGCTCAGAGAAGACCAGAGGGGTGCCCCCCATCTCATCAAAGTGCAAGGGGTTGTTCCGGGTCCCTGCCACCACCAGCTCCAGCAGCCGGACCACACAGTCTGAAAACCAGTTCTTCAGGCGGAAATATCCCTCCTGGAAAGAGATTCGGAGGCTGACGGGCCCTGTCGGCATCCGCACGCTCAGGCTGAACAAGCAGTTTCCCTGCGAGCTGTCCCGCACCAAATAGGTGCCAACAGGCTCCTGCTGGAGCTTGGCGTGAGCCTCCCCCACGGACAAGGGGCCCCAGTAGAAGTCGCTGGCCTGGAGGATATTGAGAGATCGCTCCAGGACCTCCCACTCGCAGCTGCGAAACATCCGGAAACGATCGGGCAAGCCGGGGGGCGCGGGGCTGGGGAGAGCACTCCGATGCTGCCTTTGCGGACGAGAAACAGTGGCGTGCGCGTTGTGCAGATCATCTGGCCTCCCTCTGATCATCTCTCAAAGAGCCCATGGATCCTGGGAAGATGCTGCCTTTACCATGCTTCCGCCTTTGCATCCAGCCTGCAGGACAAAGGAGAGTGAGGCAAATCCAACACCTTCTTCTAACTGGGCAAGTGAAGACACTTCCCAGGGAGAAGACGGCAGCACAGTAACCCAAGAGGGTACCAGGGTACCCGGCCTAACCTGCAGCTGTAGGGACAGCCAAGGGCGGGCTCCAGCTGGGTCCCCAGCAGTGCCAGGCAGCACCTTACAGGGCTCTGCTCCCACTGGGTTTCCGCAATTCACAGCGAGGGGCTTGCCCGCACACCCCTCAGCAGGCTGGGATGAACCTCACGATCTCGGTGTTGCAGGATTTCCCTGCTGGATGTGTAGGGACTTTTCAGAGCAGCCTGGAGACCGGCAAGGGGAAATGACACCCCAAATCAGAAGGGAAAATTCTCCCAAAGCAAGAAAGTATTGTTTACTTTGTCATTCAGTGGAAAGGTTTCCTCACGCCTCTCCAACCGTTTCTCTAACAGAAGGACAGGACTCAGAAGCAGCAGAAGATGCCAGTGAGGCTTTGCCACCAAAACCGCTCCCTCATCCCAGGACATGCCTGTTTCACTGTGTCAGGAGAAAGGAAAGGTCTTGGAGCACGACCCCTACAAGAACTGCTACACCACCGACTTCAGGGTTGGGCCTGCCATGAGTGAGGCCACTTACACTGACACCAACCACTGCCGATGTCCCACCAGCGGTTCTGCTCAGACCCTTCCAGCCCCTTAACTTGTGTTTGTGCTGGAGGGACATCCCCCCGCCAGCAGATGCTGCTGCCCTCCCCGTCACCGTCCTCTGCCGACGTGCTGCCTTCAAAGCACCCTCCCTCCCTCCCTGTCACCACCTGGCTCATCCCCTGCACCTGGTGCTATCACCAGGCTGTTTTCAGAAATGCAGATTCCTGAACGCAGCATTGTTACCCGCCATCCCAGTCATCTCAGTTACATCACAAAAAACACACGCTCTGCACGTGTGTGTGTATATATATATATATGCACTAACATGAAAACCACAGCCCCAAGCCAGAGGCTCGTTCTGTGTGAGAAGCTGAGCTGCTACATACCACTTCCCCAGGCCTGACAAGTCAGTAGCTCGCCACCAAACCCTGCCCTCGGTCCCCCGACATACTCCATTAACCCAGTCACACTCGCTGACGGCGCAGCCGTGCTCGGAGCAGAACAGAGCGCTGACACACAGCCAGCACCGAGGAAGAGACACGCTTCTCTGTCTCCGGCAGTCCCCCCCACTGCAGGCTCGTGGCAGCACCGGGGCTCATGGTGGGCAGGCAAGAGGGCTGCTCTGGAGGGAGAGCTTTAGGTTAGGCTTGGCTCCTTGCGAGGTTCCCTTACCTCACGCCCTTTGCTGGTTATTCAAAGCGTCGTGCTCCTTTCGGTGCTCGTGCCAGCTGGATGGCTGTGCGGAGCACCCTCTGCGCTCAGGGAGAGGACATGGAGCAGCAGGGCTGAGTGTCTTTCCCTGGCACAGGCACCACCGTTTTGGAAAGGAGGCATCTGCCGGGCAATGCCTTGCCTAGCGTCATCTTTTCCCTCCGAACATCTCTCTCCATACTTAACAGCAACCCCAAGAGCATAGTCTCCATACATCGAGCCACGTACACCATTTTCACGAGCAGCTTGGGAAGCTCCTCCAGTTCCCAGTCCTCTGCTTTGCAGTCCACAAGCCACTAACATCCCTGGTACCACTCTGAATGCCCCCGATGCTGCCCTGCAGCTACGTGCCACCGCAGGAGGGAAATTCCACGCTTAGAGAAAGGTGGGAGCGGTAGGAAAGAGTTAATAAAGTTGGGTTTTTTCTTTCCATTAAAAAAAAAAAACAAAAGGCAGCAGTTGAAAGCTGCTCGGATGGTTCAGCGAGTCAGAATAAATCTTAGGGGAAGATGATTTAGTGAGCAGAAGGCAAAGTAAACACAGTCGCCACGTGGAGCGACTCGGGCCGTCTATCACCATGGAAAACGCAGCACTGCGGGTGCCACAAGGGGCTGCAGCATCACTGTCCCTTCCCTTCTCCTCGCTGCTGGGCGAGGAAGCTATAGAGCCCTCTGACACAGGCTAATGTAGAAAAGGCCGGGGCCGTTCCCCCC